TTCAATACATTATTTTTTTCACACGCACGCACGCACGCATATATATATATATATATATATATATAAACATTTTAAATTTTTTATTCATCAAAGAATTCACTGTTTCCACAAAAATATTAAGCAGTACAAATGCTTTCAGCATTGATAACTATAAGAAACATTTCTTGTGCACTTATTTAAAATCTTACCAGTCCCAAACATATCCTAGTGGCCTTAATTTTACTGAAATTAACTTGGCAGAAGTAACATAACACACATTTTTTGTTGAACTGCAGTTGGTAGAATTTAGCCAGGTAGAAGGTGAGCAGAAATTCCAGCTCTTAAATTACTGCTGATTTCTCGTACATCATCATTTCCATCATTGCAGGGACAGTTATCGAATATTCAGCTGTTCTCAGAAGCCACAGTTGACGTCTTCTAATTTGTAGGAGCTACTTCATGGATGCTCTGATTGGCCTTTCATCAAAACATTGGAGATTTTTTTAGTCTGTTGGCTAAACCTGGTGCATCAGAGGCTTAGCGCTCCCTCTGCAAGATTAATAGTCTTATCATGTGGCTAACTGATTAGTGGGCTCTTAATTCTTATTATGCGGCATTATCACCTGTTCCCCTTGAGATGGCTACTGTTGGCAGCAAGGCTGTGTTAGTGGAAGATTGCAACCATTAAATAAGTGTGTTATGTCAAAATACTAATTGAAAACGAGCAGCTTTCACATGCATGCCAGAATTTAGGTAAAACATTTAAATATAGCAATTTCTTATTAAACAGACAGACTGATTATAAGCTCCTAAAAGTTTTAAGACATATTATATTATATTATATTATATTATACTTATTATTTGTAACAACTTATATAGGACCAAGTAAAGCATCTAAATGTAGACTTTCTATTATGATATACTTTCTTGCTCAAGTAGGCTAGCCTAAAAAATTTCCTGTTCAGTCCCATTCACCTCTTTCCCAATATTCACTGGGCCTTGAATAATTACAGTTGCATTGTTTGACAGTTTGCCACTTTTATTTACACAGTTGTTGTTTATCTTGTTGTCAGTTGTCACGTTTAGTTATTTGTCTTGTGATGTCGAGATGAGTTTGTTCGTCTGCTAAAAAGATTGCTTTGTTTGATAATTACTCTAGTCGTGTTTCATGTACCGAGTGTTTTATGAAGGCTTCAACATTCATTTAATGTTGTCTTTTGATTTAGAAAAAGAAAAGGCATTTTGCTCTACATTTCTTACAGAAAATAAGAGATTATCATATTATTGCATGATTTAAAAAAAATATTAAGCATAAAGGCCAAGTTAAAGTTAAATCAACCTAACATTTTCAGTACACAGAATACATTTATTTAAAATGATCAGTTAACCCTATAAAGCCTACTGTATCATATTTGATCATTTCTAAGATCTCTAAATTATCAACATGGTCAAAACTTTGCTAAAACACCTGTTGAACACTATATACTACACGCATTTTGTCATCTGATATACTTTTTAGCAAGTGAAAGGCCTTTTAGTATACAGTAATTATAAAAAAAACCTCTTCAGGTCGTTACATGTGGCTTTTTGATGTGAAATCTTCTGATTTTTATAAAGTAAACACAAAAACAACTTTTATATTGTTAGTAATATTTCAAGATGAACATTAACTGGATTAAATAAACTTTGGTTTACTTCACACATACATAATTTTTTAGAACAAGTGGTTTAAAATGTGTGTATCAAATATGATACATCAGGTTTGTGTTATTGCCTCTTAATGAGAAATTGCTTGTATTCCTAATTTCTAAATCAATTTGGTTAAAAGCATCTGCTATTTAAATAAATATAAATGTACTAAAATGTAAATGTACAATATGATACTCCAAAAAAACATATGCAAACAGATAGTGCTGTGTTCGATACATCGATACGACGATGTATCGTCACAGAGATTTGACGATACGAGTATCGATACAACTGTCCCAGTATCGATATCGTGGCACATGTGCAGCAGTGGACCGTGCTTAATTTGAATACAAGAACAACATTTAAAACGGAGTAGAAAAGTGCAAGGTTTCTAAAAAATAATGAATAGAGCATAATATATAGGCTACAACAAAGTTTAATCTGACCGCAGAGGAACACAACCGGGGTTGCCTGATATAAAGAGACGTAATCCCCAAAACAGTGCTTCCCACTTGCGCAATACAGAAATATCTGCTAAGTGTGCTACATATCTTTGTCAACCTAGCAACCATGTGCACGTGCTCTCTCTCCACTGAGGATAAACGCGCTTGCTTTCTGAAAACACTGGTTAGCTTGCAGTTTAGTGATCTCCACTTCAATATTCTATTCTCAGAAAAGTGTAATTCATCAAGTGTTCATTTATGAGAGAGAGAGAGAGAGGTGGTGTATGTATGAATTACCACCGTTTTGCTGCGTTTCTCTATTAACAGTGAAGCTGTGGTTTTAATTTCTTTAGAAACAATGATGTTACCAGCTCCTTGTTGAGAAAGTTAATGTAGATCTTGAGCGATTAAGCTATTTAGTTGATAAAATTGCGGGGCAGCGCTAAAAAGTTTGTTCTTTAATGTCTGAGTGCGGCCGCAGCGTGATCTGTGTGAGTGAATGAGCGTGTGTGCGTTAGATACAGTGAAGACAGCTTATTAGTTTAGAAATCTTCTAATTTTTAGTTTTTTAAACGTAGAGAGTGTTAATTTGTGCAATGATAACCTACCAGCAATGTAAATATGATTTTTTAATATATTAGAATGAGTACATTACAATATAAATTTATTAGAAACATAAATCCAACAACAGCTTCGACCATACATTAATAATGTGTGTTTTTGTGACATAATTTTGACATAATTCTATCACTTTTGCCCCTTATGAATTGCAAAACAGCAGATGGATTTAAGGGCGTTTGCTGGAATGAATCAATCAAGCATCTGGGTCGGGAGGCCTCTGTCATTACTGCTGATTTAATGTGATAGATCCCCTTTCAGAAGGCCACCCCAGCTCCATCCATCACCTGTGCATGAGGTTACTCACTATTTCTCGGCTAACTGAGAGGACAGGCTCTTATAGAAGAGAGGCATGCAGTGATTGGAGGGTGTTTTGAGATGTATTGAGTGTGAGATTGTGCCAATGCCTTTTGTAGAGGTATGTACCTATTTTAGCGTATGCATAATTGCATAACGCAGAGCTTAAAATAAGGACCAGGGGTTGATAGAATTATAGAGAGAAAAGGCCAAAATACTTAATTGCCTGTTACTGCATTAATTAAATTTGTTATTTTTGTATGCATTGTGAGTTGCTGCTGGTGAGACAAAGAAGAGCATTAGTCTTGACCTTCGCTTAAGAAACAAAATAGTTTCTGTCGGGGCTAATTAAAAAGTATTTGAATTGCTTCATCAGCTACTCATCTTGCAATAAATGGCACAAATGCTTTTAGTATTTTGTTTTAAGGAAGATCCATTGGTCTACTAGGCGGTGTTTATGTCAACTACCCAGTTCCAGTTTATAAGCCCACATGCTATTTTTCTAACAACTACTTTCTACTTTAAAGGGCGACTCGTTGCTCTATTGTATGTCTATACATTAAAGATACCCAGCTAAAATTTTAAATTTGTAGTTAAAATTACTAAAAATAAATGTATTTTAAAGTTTAGAATTAGACAGCCCTTTACGCTGGTAACACATCATCAGTAGACTTTCCTCATCAACATAGGCTATATTTCTTCACACTTTTTTCATTCTCACTGATTCAAGTTTTTATATGAATGAATCTCTGAAGGGAACCGACTGTCTTCAGAAACATTTCGATGGCATTTTAATTTTATCTGAAAAAAAAGACAGCTGTTACTGGGGAAACTGCTATATTCTGACGTTCCAAAAGTGCCTCCTACTTGCAGGGAGTGAATGTACATTTTCAATAATCCCGTCTGCAGTTTTTGTTCAGATCAAGGCAAAAATCCACCCACATAACCGTTTTAAATGAATATAATAAAGTATACTTATGACTCATCCCTTTTCTTAAAAAAATTATTTAAAGGCTCAATTGTGAGGTTTATTATTTCATAATTTATTTTGTTTTTGTGAAAACCCGTATCTCACCTGTAAATCAATTGCTATTTCGTGGTCTACAACATGAAAGAAAGCCATTATAACATGTACATGAAAAATTTAGAAACATTGGAAGCAACTATGGGGCACCATTGTGCAGCAAAAAGCATCACAACAAAAAAAAAGGAACCTCAAGGTGGATTTAGAAAAATGAATGCAAATGTATAGGACCCCATTCCTATATTTTGCCTGGGGCCCCAATTCTCTAAATCTGCCTATGTCTGATAATAATAGCTTTGTAGAACTATACATTATTTGGAAAATTAGTCAAAAAAATAAAAATCCTTATCTGTTACCCTATCTGTTGCATAGAATATATTGATAATTAAAGGGGTCATGAAGTTGCTAAAAAGGACATTATTTTGTGTATTTGGTGTAATGCAACGTGTTTCAGGTTAAAAAAAACACATTATTTTGCACATACTGTACATTATTGTTGCCTTTCTGAAACGCATTGATTTTTACAAAGCTCATCGTTCTGAAAAGTGCGGTGTGCTCTGATTGGCCAGCTATCTTATGCGTTGTGATTGGCTGAATACCTCAGGTTGTGACGGAAATGTTATGCCCCTTACCAGGTTCAGGAAACTTTCCTCCGTAAAATACGCTGCACACACTCGAATATTTGGGTTGAACTGTTCTGCAACAGTGTTGCAGAACAGTTGGCAACCACTGATTTCTAGTTGTGTCCTCTTTTGGATGACCAAACAAAGTAGTTTGGCTTTCACAGCGTCTCCACGACATGGCGGCGACGGCAACAATACTAAGCGAGAATAAAAGTTACACCTTCTTTCTTTGCGTATACATTTGGGCGGTGTTATGCAAATCTTCCCAAACAGTGACATAGATATGTGGGGGCATGTTTGAACGAGGCGTTTTAGGAAGGCGTGGATGAGCGTTCACTTTTATAAAGAATGTCTCTTTGGGTTTGAGACTTTAATCTTTGCGACTTTACGGATCTTCTGTATGCACAAACAGCTTTTAACACTCCAAAGACAAAGGAAAACATGAAATCGCATCATATGACCCCTTTAATATTAATATATTTTCTGTCCAATTTTATTGTGTTACTTTCAATAAAAGTGTGGTTATTTTATTGGCTTGTGTTTTTTTTTCTATTCAGTATAATTCAAATGAATGAGTTAAATTAAAAAGTTTTACAAAATTACTTTATATTATTTAATAAAACAATATATAATTATTACAAAGCATTTTCAGTTTCGGTTTTCGGCCAAGTGCAACCAGAATTTTTGGTTTCGGCCTGTAATTTTCATTTCGGTGAATCCCTACTAAACACACCCTAAAAATACATATTAGCACCTAAAGTGTACATATTAGCAGGGAACCGGCTCAGTGACTGTTTTGTACCTTTTGTCTGAGAGTGTATTTAGACTTTCATATGTCAGCAGTTAATTTGTATCTGACTGACTCATATAAATGTCATTCCTATAGATTTAGAAACATTTATTTTTTTTCATATGTATGATATATTGTCGACTATATGTCATGTGGTGCTGTGGAGGAAGCCTAGGAGGAGCAAAAATTGCTAAAAATGCATGAGTCACCAAAGCCTGGAGCATTGTTTCTCTGTTTTTATCCTTGAAGGATTTCAGGGCTTTGTGGTGTTTTTTTTTTCATTTAGCTTTCTTTCTCCTCCCCACTTTTATGAAAGGTATTGTTTGTCACCACAGTGCGGACTTCTATGAGTCTTTCTGTATGGGCAGATTTCTGTCACGAAGTGTTTATTGAGCATAGCACCTGTCAGCTGCACATTCGGAGGCGGCACCCTACGCATGGTATTCATCCCCCAAATGAAACATGCTCTGAGAACCTGAGGCTAGAGATGTAGCTTGGCAGGAGCGTTGGTTGCCCCGCAGGCCTCCTTCTATCATGTCCAAATCAGTTGAGAAATGTTAATGAAAACAGATCATTAGGGACAGGCCTGTTTACTGTCTCTGTTTTTCTCATGCAGGGAATTTGGCCGGTGGAAAGTGAATAACTTGGCTGTAGAGCGACGGGATTTCCTGAACTCCCCTTTGCCTCTCACCCCGGAATTTATAAGAAACATTCGATTCCTGGGACGAAGGCCCACTGCCCAGCTAATTACTGACAACCTGATCAAGAAATATGGGACCCATTTTCTACTGTCGGCTACACTAGGAGGTAGAAAAATATATTCCTGTGAAACATCCTCATGGTGGTTTTACACAAAGGTCATAATACTTACTGTGAGCGAACTTGAAAACCAACTTGTGTTGTTTATGCAGAAGAAACACAGATAGATCTCATGCATATTTACATCTCAATTTCCACTCTATCAAGCCAAGGAAAATCACTTGTGACATGCTTTGCCGCATAATGTATTACTTGTTACACTGTGTGGTTGTAAGGGGGAGGCAGGTGTAAACAGATGGCAACATGTCCAGGATGGGTTGCCTTTCAGAAATCCACAAGCATTATTTTGCTCAGTTCTCAAACTCGAAGCAGCCTGTGCTTACAAGTTACATCACGTAATGCAAAAGTATAGGCTGTAAACAACTGATGTGGCCTTCACTGTTCTGGAAAACAAGCAATATTGTGTAAGGTTAGAGCATGAAAATGGAGATGCAAGTCTTGGCTTTGCAGCAGATCTGCCTGGAATACAAACTGTCAGAGAGAGTTTCAGAGCATTTACAGTATAAGTATAAACTGTCACACTGATCTGCTTTACCTGATAAGGCTGGATATTGATACAGATTTCCTGATTAAGTTCTGCTTTACATGCTCTCGATTCGATTCCAGTTTATTTATAAAACAGTTATAATGTTGATTCTGCTAACATTAAATTGTGAAGGTCAGGGTTTCGTGCTAAACCGGTAACTCGTCTTTTTGAACTATTCATTAAAATAACCAGCTGATTAGAGTAACTTGTTTTGGGAATCAGGCTACACTGGATAAGATGTTTGTATGTTTTTGATTCACTGAGAGTAATTTGTTTGTTCAAATTTTGATTGCATTCGGTACAGACATTCAGTTCAGTGAACTCGCATTTCTATCTCAGATAAAATATTATTTATTTTGCTGAAGATTCAACAGGAGTCTCCATTCCTGAAAACCGATTCTGGAAACACTGAAACTTGATACATGACATTACATACACAGCCACCGAAAATAGTCGGAAAAAAATGTATCTTGGAATCTTAAGAATCAACATAACAAAATAATAAAAGATTGTTCAAATGATGATCATGGTTAATCAGAAAATCTGTATTTTTACTGTAATTGTTATCAATCAGCTTATATAAAACTGCTTGCATCAGAATCCTTAATACATTCTGCAGGTGCACAGAATACATCAGTTCTTACAGTAAAACATTTCTACATCAATAAGCATGGTATCTTTTGTTTCCGCTAGGAGAGGAGGCTCTGACTATATTTGTGGACAAGAGGAAGTTGAGTAAGAAAGCAGAGGCGAGCGACTACACCAGTAACAGCACGGCTGTGACTCTGGAGGCCCTGCACCAGCTGGCTGCTTCCTATTTCATAGACAGGGAGAGTACTCTGCGAAAACTGCATCACATCCAAATTGCTTCCACTGCCATCAAGGTATGTCATTAGTCAAGTCAGAGCCCACAGCTTACTCCTTTCAACTCCTCAAGAATAATCACGTTCAGTATAACAAAGTGAATTTTTTTTCACTATCCCTGTTGCCATTATCCTGCTATGAAAAGTGTCATATGCTGTGAGTGGGTATCTAGAGTTCCCTTCAGGAACTCGAGCTGCGTCGAAACGCTACGGGAATGCCTCCACCGTGACCACGCTCTGAATCACATGTGTAATCAGTCCAATGGATGGGCGAGACATCACGGGCAGGGTGACGTAGCGACCAGAAAGCATAAAAGCATGTGCGGTGAAACCGGCGTCAGCTTTCTGTCATTCAGCAAGTGCTCTGTGTGTGTCAGTCTTATTTGGTGTTGTCTGTCCATTATCACTCTTTATTTTACCAATACGAGTGTAGACAAACATACGGTGAGAGCCGGCAGCATCTCAGGCTGTGTGTTCTTCCCTGCCCGTGCTACATTTCGGGTGGGGATACACACAGTTTGTGTGTTGTCTGCTTGCGAGTTCTGGCGACGCCGGCCCCGCTTTCGCCGAGGCGGAGCGGCGGCCGTGCTCGTGGGTTTCGCATATGGATCCGGTCGAGGGAATGTAGACGGGCGAGCCCCTATCTTCTTTCTTAACCACCAGATCCAGCACCGAGCTCGCCAGTTGCACAAGCATCAGTTACACAAGCATATTATGCCTAATATTATAATGAGCAGCTTTACTGTGGAGCGGAGCTGTTTTACAGTCGCACAAGCATTATGTCTATACTATTATGGGGGAAAAAAAAACTTGCGCAGTCAGCTCTCGGAAATAAGAGGCTGATTGTGCTTCTCCCCGCTGAACGCTCCGCTCCTGTCGGAGCTATTGCAGAGGCACGGTGGCGATTCAGATCGCGGTGATCGCACGTGGATCTAGCGGATGGGTTGGAGACCGCTCGCCCTTTCTCCGCCTGCACTCCCTAGATCCAGCGCTCTCTCTCGAGGCTCGGAAGCCCGCGCTGCGGTTTCTTCCCCCTCTGAGTGAGAGCTCTGCTGTTGCGGCTATTTTTCTCTGAGGAGATTGATATTGTTTGTGTGACCAAGTGGCTCGCGCGCTGCCGAGGCAACGCGTGTATTACATCATTTTCAGTTTTTGATGTGAATCTTACCACACCAGACCGTGTTTACTCGTTTGGTTGTTTGGCTGCATTTAATTCTGAGGAAATAAATTAAGTATTTATCTGACTATGAGAAGTTAGATATATCATTTTCGATTTTTTATATGAAATGAATCTTATCACACCAGACCGTGTTTACTCGTCGGGTTGTTTGTCTGCATTTAATTCTGAGGAATTAAATTAAGTATTTATCTGACTATGAGAAGTTAGATATATTAATTTCGATTTTTGAAATGAATCTTATCACACCAGACCGTGTTTACTCATCGGGTTGTTTGATTGCATTTGATTCTGAGGAATAAAATGAAGTAGTCATCTAACTATGAGAAGTTAGATATACAGGGGCTCTTGGGATAAAAAATTCTCGAGTAAGAGCACGTGTTTACCTCTCTTCCACAGAGGTCTCTAGAGCAGCTAGTACGGCCGTCCCCTGCCGGTTCGCCGCTTCAGGGCACCGACCGCTTCAGGGCACCGAGCTAGCCACTCTGATTACACCAGAGGTCAGTCTCGAGAGACTGATTCCCTTAGTAGACTAACGTGTCTCTGTGGATCCTGCACACTGTAGAGTGAGGCTATAGAATCCAGTTCTCCGCCTTCTCAGTTTAAACGGGATCATACCCACTATGGTGGGTCTCGAGCAGGCTCTGGTCATGGAACAGAAGTAGTTACTCTTTTGAGGAAGGAGGCAACTGAAGTTCAGCTTGCTCGCACTCAAACAAGTCGTGTCTCAGATCAAGTCCGAGGACTGGTTTGGCACGATTGATCTAAAAGATGCACATGTCTCCATCCTTCCTCATCACAGGAAGTTCCTGAGGTTTGCTTTTGGGGGCAAAAGCTTACCAACACC